TGAAACCAAGAGCTGGTTCTTTGAAAAGATAAAGAAAATTGACAAACCCTTAGCTAGACTCACCAAGAAAAAAAGAGAAAAGGCTCAAATAAATAAAATCAGAAATGAAAGAGGAGAGATTACAATGGACACCTCAGAAATACAAAAGATAACAAGAGATTACTATGAAGAACTATACACCAACAAATTGGATAATCTAGAAGAAATGGATAAATTCTTAGAAACATACAACCTTCCAAAACTGGACCAAGAAGTAGAGAATCTGAATAGACCGAACACCAGTAAGGACATTGAAACAGCAATCAAAAACCTCCCAAAAATAAAAGTCCAGGACCAGATGGCTTCCCTGGTGAATTCTACCAAACATTCAAAGAAGACTTAATACCTATCCTTCTCAAACTCTTCCAAAAAATTGAAGAGGAGGGAAGCTTCCTAAGTCATTCTATGAAGCTGACATTATCCTGATACCAAAACCAGACAAGGACAACACAAAAAAAGAAAATTACAGGCCAATATCACTGATGAACATCAATGCAAAAATCCTCAACAAAATACTAGCAAATCGAATACAACAAGACTTTAAAAAGATCATACATCATGATCAAGAGGGTTTCATTCCAGGGATGCAGGGATGGTTCAACATCCACAAATCTATCAACGTAATACACCACATTAATAAAATGAAGAATAAAAATCACATGATCATCTCAATAGATGCAGAGAAAGCACTTGACAATATACAGCATCCATTTATGATAAACACTTTAAATAAAATGGGTATAGAAGGAAAATACCTCAACATAATAAAGGCTATATATGACAAAGCCACAGCAAATTTCATTCTCAACAGAGAAAAACTGAAAGCTATCCCTCTAAGAACAGGAACCAGGCAAGGATGCCCACTGTCACCACTCTTATTTAACATATTATTGGAAGTCCTAGACACAGCAATCAGGCAAGAAGAAGAAATAAAAGGGATCCTCATCGGACAAGAAGAAATGAAACTGTCACTCTTTGCAGACAACATGATTTTATGTCTAGAAAACCCTAAAGAATCCACTAAAAAACTTTTAGAAACAATAAAGGAATACAGTCAAGTCGCGGGATACAATATCACTGTACAAAAATCGGTTGCATTTCTATACACTAACAACGAAGTAGCAGAAAGAGAAATTAAGAAGACAATCCCATTTACAACTGCAACAAAAAGAATAAAATACCTAGGAATAAACTTAACCAAAGAGGTGAAAGATCTGTACACCGAAAACTATAAAACATTGTTGAAAGAAATTGAAGACACAAAGAAAATGAAAGATATTCCGTGCTCTTGGGTTGGAAGAATTAACATAGTTAAAATGTCCATACTTCCTAAAGCAATCTATAGTTTCAATGCAATCCCTATCAAAGTTCCAACAACATATTTCACAGAAATAGAACAAAGAATCCTAAAATTTATATGGAACAACAAAAGACCCTGAATAGCCAAAGGATTCCTGAGAAAAAAGAACATAGCTAGAAGTATCACACTCCCTGATTTCAAAATATACTACACAGCCATAGTGACCAAACAGCATGGTACTGGCACAAAAACAGACACACAGATCCATGGAACAGAATCGAGAGCCCAGAAATAAACCCACATATTTACGGACAGCTAATATTTGACAAGGGAGCCAAGAGCATATGATGGAGAAAGGAGAGTCTCTTCAATAAATGGTGTTGGGAAAACTGGACAGCCACATGCAAAAGAATGAAAGTAGACCATGCCCTTACTCCATGCACAAAAGTCAACTCAAAATGGATTAAAGATTTGAACGTAAGACCCGAAACCATGAAACTTCTAGAAGAAAACATAAGCAGTATGCTCTTCGACATCGGTCTTAGCAGCATATTTTCAAGTCCCATGTCTGACTGGGCAAGGGAAACAAAAGAAAAAATGAACAAATGGGACTACATCAAAGCAAAAAGCTTCTGCACAGCAAAGGAAAGCAGTAACAAAATGAAAAGACAACCTAACAATTAGGAGAAGATATTTGCAAACCATATATCAGATAAGGGCTTAACAGCCACAATGTACAAAGAACTCATACAGCTCAACAACAAAAAAACCAACAACCCGATTAAAAAATGGGCAAAAGATTTGAACAGAGATTTCTCCAAAGAAGATATACGGATGTCCAACAGGCAAGTGAAAAGATGCTCAACATCATTAGCTATCAGGGAAATGCAAATCAAAACTACAATGAGGTATCACCTCACTCTGGTCAGAATGGCTATAATTAACAAGACAGGAAACAACAAATGTTGGTGAGGATATGGAGAGAAGGGAACTCTCATACACTGCTGGTGGGAGTGCAAACTGGTGCAGCCACTATGGAAAGCAGTGTGGAGTATCCTCAGAAATTAAGAATAGATCTACCATATGATCCAGTTACCCCACTGCTGGGTGTTTATCCAAAGAACTTGAAAACACAAAGGCATAAAGATACTTGCACCCCTATGTTCATTGCAGCATCATTCACAATAGCCAAGATTTGGAAGCAACCTAGGTGCCCATCAAGGGACAAATGGATAAAGAAGATGTGGTATTTACACACGATGGACTACTACTCAGCCATAAGAAATGACGGAATCTGGCCATTTCTGACAACATGGATGGTCTTTGAGGGTATTATGCTGAGTGAAATTAGTCAGAGGGAGAAAGTTAAATACCATATGATCTCACTCATAAGTAGAAGATAAAAACAACAACAAACAAACACATAGCGTTGGAGATTGGATTGGTGGTTACCATAGGCTAAATGGGGAGGGCAAAAGGGGTGATTAGGCTCACATGTGAGGGGATGGACTATGATTAGTTTTTGGGTGGTGAACATGATGTAATCTACACAGAATTCGAAATATATTATGATGTACATCCGAAAGTTATATAATGTTATAATCCAATGTTACTGCAATTAAAAAAAAAAAGTGCACTGCTCTGAGTAGAGTGATGAAATCTGGCACCATACTGCCTGGGACGTGAATCATCTCTTTGTCCAGGGGATCCACACTGTACACACCACCCGCCCCAGCCACTAGCAGCATCTTGGTTATCAGATCCACTGTGGGGCATCAAAGTGCTTGTGTACAAGTAGCCCTCATTCTACTTAATAATGGCCCCAAAGCGCAAGAGTAGTGATGCTGGCAATTTGTACACGCCAAAAAGAAGCCACTGAGTGCTTCCTTTAAAGGAAATGTTGAAAGTTCTGGCCTTGGTAAGAAAAGAAAAAAAATCATATGCGGAGGTGCTAAGATCTACAGTAATTTCATTATAGTCTATTGCTGGAATTGTTCTATTTTATTATTATTATTGTTATTAATCTCTTACTGTGCCTAATTTATAAATTAAACTTTATCATAGATATGTGTGCATAGGAAAAAAACACAGCATATATGGGGTTCCTACTATCTGAGGTTTCAGGCCTCCCCTGGGGTCTTGGAATATATCCCCCCGAGGATAAGGGGGCACTGCTGTAGTGAGCATGGTCCACCTTAATTTCTTTCTAAAACAATATTGAATATAAATATACAAACAAAATAGAAACAACCAAGAATTTAATAAAACAAGTAGCGAAATCATTTCCAAGAAGACATTTTGTTTGGCTTTCTCTAACTTGTAAGCTTTATTAGTGAAGGGTCTAAGGAGGATGAAGGACAATAGATTTATTTCAACAAAGCTTATCTAATCCAGCGGTCCTAGCAAAGGGGTTTGCAGGTCTGCGCTTGAGCACGTGTTGCCTGTTTTGGGGTAGGAGGGAGGTCTCATGGAGATGCCTCGGCACACGGTGAGGAGCAGCGCTGTAATTCCGGCCAGGAGCGACCAGCGGGCGCAGGGCTCCACGGTCGGCACGGTGCGCGTTTGTTTGGCAAAATGGCCGTCCTGGCTGCACAAGGCCCGATCCGAGCAGGTGCCGCCGTCGGCCCACAGCCAGAGCTGCCCTGGAGATGGGCCCTTTCTGACCGGAGGGACCTTAGATGTGCTGGGGGCGCCCCTGGCCTCAACTGTCTCCTGCCTATATGCCACATTCTTTGAAATTTCACCACTGGGACTAATTTTTCTGTCATTGAAAAATGATTTCCTAAGCATTGTTTTTAAATAAAAATGATCTCTTGGGAATGGTGGCACATTAAGCTATTAATGATTATTTATACTTTGGTCTAAACTAGCTAATTAAATGTGTTTAATCAAACAGCTGCCCGAGAACTGGTTTCTAAGGCACTGGGGCTTTCCATGATGATAAGAAAAACACTGCAGGCGCATCTGGGGAGAGGGAAGGCCTGTGGGACGAATAGAGGACGGTCCTGACCCGTCACTCAGGAATGTCGCGGGGTGTTTATGGTTTATTTTGTTTTCAGTCTCATCTCAGAACCACCTCCTCTAATTCGCTCTCAGGATGTAGATTGTATTTATAGAAGACAAGCTCATCTGAAGTTAATACTCTCGGCATCATTTCTCTGCAAATCCTGACTGACACATATATAGGGTTTTTTCCCCCCCAAAAGTTGAGGAGAAGAGGAGATAAAATTCATTACATTTCGTTTAGGACTGTTGCCTGATATGATTTCATCCGTTTTCTCGTCCCTTTAAGTCTGGTCCACATAGGACACTCTTCAGGAGGCTGGGCACAGCTTAAGTGTAAAGAAGCGTCACCCTCATTTCAGCAGGAAGACGCACACAACGTTCCCTGTTCTGAGGACAGCCATGCAGCTGCCTGGGTGTTAGCGCTGATACCCGCGTCCCAGCATCGGTCCACCAAACGTTTGTAAACATAAAGTCTGGATAGTTTCAAACTTCTAATTGGTAGTTTGAAAACATCTTTTTTTTTTCCCCCATTCCTGTGGGTAGTGAAAAACAAAAGAACAATAATCTGTATTTCTTGTGAAGACTAAACATTTACAAGGAGGCTAGGATCGCTGCAGGTGAGGGAATGTTCCAGAAGGGATGGGGTCAGTATTACCTGCTGAATCATCTCCAGGCCAGTCTTTCCCACCTGCCACTGTTTAAATTTCTCCAGGGCTTCGTCCACAGACAGTGTCCCGTTCTTGACCTGCTCCTGCAGGAGGATGAGCTCTTCCTGCCCGGCAGGCAGGCAGCCTCTTGCTGTGGACAAGGCTTGACTCTCCACCCGGGCTCTGTCTACAACACCAGGGAAGGGTGTTTTAACAAGTCAATAGACAACAACTGGCAAAAAAAGCACTCTAAAAAATAAGCAGTTTGCGTTTCTTGATCTAATCAGTCTATGCACTCTTGCAGAATAAATCAGTATAAATTTTTTTTTTTTTGAGGAAGATTAGCCCTGAGCTAGCATCTGCTGCCAATCCTCCTCTTTTTGCTGAGGAAGACTGGCCCTGAGCTAAGATCCATGCCCATCTTCCTCTACTTTATATGTGGGATGCCACCAAAGCATGGCTTGACAAGTGGTGCCGTGTGCGCACCTGGGATCCCAACTGGTGAACCCCGGGCTGCCAAAGTAGAACGTGTGAATTTAACCACTGCACCATCGGGCTAGCCCCCAGTACAAATTTTTTTTTTACCAGGTTTCTTTCTAAGGATTGTAGTGCCTGGCACCTAGTGTTACAGGTAAAGAGAATGTGTGTCATCACTGACAAACACACAGGGACAAGGAGAGAAAGAACAATAGCAAAGATTCTGCCCTGCACTCCTTGTGGGAAGTGCCAATTTCATGATCTTGTTGTGAGGATTACTTTTAATCATGTGAACAAAATACTTAGCATAGTGCCTGACACATAGAAAGGTAAATAAATATTAACATTATTATTAATAATAAATATTTTTGTGGAATAAACATAATCTCTCTAGTTTTGGGAAGAGATCTGAACCAACATCCAACTGTCACAGAAGTTTAGGATCATTTAAAAATTTATTCCTGAAAGATTTAAAACAAATAATTCCTGGTCATTTTGTAGTGAACTGCTTCCTTTTCAAAAAAGTTGATTTTGGAGCATGCCGAGTATAAGTTGGTCCACACAATAAGAACGTTAGATGGTCCGGCTTCCCACGTGAGGCTGCTAATGCCACACCAGAGACTGGCCTGAGGCACGATGGCAGCAAATTGCAGACCGAGGTAAATTCAGCATTTTATTTGTCCCATGTGGTGTTTAAGGACATAAGTGAACCTGCATGGCTTCAGGGATGCCATGTGCTCTCCAGGCTACCCCAATCCCTGTCACTCCCTACAGTCATTGGATGACATTACACTTGTGCTACTTGCCTGGAGGCAGAACTCATTGGAGTTTGTACTTTCTCATTTATATATTTCCATTAAGTCCAACACACTGAATGAATTATCTCAGGAGGGATCGGGTCACTCAGCGGCAGCGCATGTCTTATGCACCATCAAATCTACGTATGCCTATAGATGGGCCAGCCCGGTGGCTAAGTGGTTAAGTTTGTGCACTCTGCTTTGGCAGCCTGGTGTTCGGGTTCAGATCCTGGGTGTGAACCTACACACGGCTCATGAAGCCATGCTGTGGTGGTGTCCCAAATACAGACTAGAGGAGGGTTGGCACAGATGTTAGCTCAGGGACAATCTTCCTCACCAAAAAACTCCCCCAAAACAAAACCCACAAATATGCTCCTAATGTCTAGAAGGAGAGAATTGTGGTTGGGTCCCACTGTGTACTAGTAAGCTGTCCGTGAGCCTGGAGAAATCGCTCACTACAGGGAGCCCTTCTTCCAGAAAGAAGCAGATCAACTAGTCTGTATCTAGACCAGACTGACAAGGAGTTGGGAACAGGGAGGGCATTCAAAGTCTAGAATAACAAGGATTTGTTGATGGTGATAGGATTGGTTTGTCTGGAAAAGCGAAGTGTCAAGCACTTGCTAGCAGGTTTGATGTGTCTGAAGGGGACTTGAGCCCCGGGCTGTCTCGGCGTGATCTCTCCTGTCCCTCTCAGTGTTGAGAGGGACGCCAGCAGTGAACCTTGGAACAGGGACACAGAAGGGGTCCTTTCTGACAAGTGCATGAAGCTGCCCCATGGCCAATCGTCCTGATTCCCACTGGACTCTCTTGGCTTGCCTTTTCTCTTCAGAAGTCCTGCTCTTCCAGAACTAACAAGATGCCAACAGATTCTATATCTCAATCTTTTCCTTCAGGGATGACGGAGCATGAGATCCCAGGGGAATCGGAGAAGACAAGGCAGCCAAAGGTGTCCTGGGTCAGCAGCCCACAGCACAGGTCACAACTGAGATCTTGCTTCCTGCACCAGCTGCTTCTCATCGGACTCCACACTCCGACTCAGCTCCCGGGGTGCATCTGCAGCAGGGTTCCCTGCGCCCTTCCTGCAGCTGGGAGGTGCAGCGTCTCCCCTGGAACGCGCGGTCATTACGTGCGCCCCCTGCTGTCCTCCCCTGGCCTAGGTGTGACTCCATTTTTATCTCAAGTGACCCATGCAGCTGGATTTTCTGCTTTTGTGGAAGTTATGTCAAGGAAAGTCTGCCCAGAGAACTGTACCAGCTTCCATTTTGCTCTATGTACAGGTTCAGCTGAATTAAAAAAATACTGAACTTTTCAATAATATTCATTTCAGTTACCCCTTCATATTTCAAATACTAGCTACTAAAACAGAATTAAGCTGACTCTGCTGGGGAGGGTGGCGTTCGGTCCTGCGTGCTTGTGCAGAGACAAGAAGAGCAAGCGGAGCGGCAGCATCTCCGGCAGATCGAGTCCTGGAACTGAGTCGTCCACAGCCAGACTGATTTTACAGAGAACAGTTTGCATCATTCAAGAGAAAAAGCACAAAAACTCTAATAATTTATCATCTAAACCTTTCTTTCACTGCTCGTGATTCCCATGTGACTGTAATGTGAAGTCCTATAGCTTTAAACGCTGCACAAAGTAACAGACTTTAATAACACATATGGCAAGCGGTGCTGTCTTCATCCTTTTATTTTCCTAAATAATTGCCTGATTTCAGCTCTTTTTTATTTATTTATCTTCTTTATGAATTTAGATGCATTCTTCCAGACTGTCGTCTCTCTCTCCAAAGGAAAAAAACATACTTTCAGATTGATTTTCTTAAATCTATAAATTATTTTAGGAAGAACTTAGACTATTTAGTCTACCCATGCAGGAAAATGGTGTGCCTCTCTTCTCTGATGGGAACTTTTGGTGTTTTCAATGTACGTGAATAAGTTCTTTCTTTTATATGATGTCTCCAAACTAGTATTGTTGGCACATAAAAAAGCAAATCATTTCCAAATTATATTCAACTGTTTTAAATAATTTTTGACTCTTATAATTGATTCTCTCAGGCTTTCTAGGCAAGTATATATATTATCTAAAAATAGTGAAAAAGAATCGTCTTCTCAATAGTTATCCTTTTTATTTTAGATTCATATGGTATTCCAGGTGCTAGAATTTTCCAGAATAATGGTAAGTACCAATGTTGATAAGAAGCATCCTTATCTTGTTCCTAGACCGAAGGAGAATAGCTCTGATCTTGAACTAGTAAGATATTCTTGATAATGTTGAGAAATTACCCTCTTTCTTATTTTGTTAGATTTTAAAAAATAATGAATAGTTGAATAATAATGGTTTATGTCTTTTTCCTCATTAATTGAGATTATCATGTATTTTTTCTTAATGAATTAACTAGCTCATTACATTAATATTTCTACTCCATGGGATGGTTTATATAATATAAAAAAATCTTTTATGTGAGTTTGAAATACCTCAGCAGTGAAACTTGTCCCTGGTTATCTTTTGAGTTAAAATTTATGCAAATATTTCTTAGTTATTAGTCTAGTACAATTTTTAAGTTCCTTTTATCATCTAAGTTTTTTTATAAGTTGAGTTTAGTTTTTTAATAGACTTCATTTTTTAGATGTTTTAGGTTCGTAGTAAAAATGAGCAGATGGTACAGACATTTCCCATAAACCCCTTCCCCCACACGAGTAGCCTCCTCCATTGTCAGCATCCCCCACCAGAGTGGTACATTTGCTCCAACTGATGAACTTACACTGACACGTCGTTATACCTGGACAGAATTTTGTTAATTAGTATTTCTATTTAGAAAGTCATATATTTTTATATACAAGAAAAGGAAACAATTCCTCTGATTCTGTATACTGCTATCTTCTCATGACTGATTTTCTTATTGGTGTTCTGTCCAGATTTGCCACTTTACTCTTTTTAAAAATAAAATTAGATTTAGTCAACATTCCTTGTGTTTTCACATCTTTGAATTCTTTAAATTCTACATTTAATTTTCACCTTTTCTTAGATCTATTTCCCTGGCTCTTGTTCCATTTTTCTACTCGAGTGTCTAGTTCCTTTGTTTTCCTTGTCTTGTTTCATAACTGAAGCTGTAAGGTTCTGATGTTGCGTCTGTTTATAGAGACGGTTTCTAGGGCTGTTTTCTAAGCAGTCAATTGTGTTTTAATATTCTCTTTGCCTTCAGAGTTTTTCAGAATTTTCTTTGTTGTTCTAATTGTTACAATTTCTGTTAATTCTTTAAATATTGTATTGAGATCAGAAAGTGGGTTGAATAGGTGATATTTTATTGAGATTTGTTTTAGTAGGCTAGCATGCTATTATATTACCACTTATGGAATCTTGAAAAGTATATACTCTATCAAGTACAAACTTACATTATCCTCATTTTTCTATATACTCCTTTTAATTTTTTGTATTTTTACTACTTTATAAGTCAAAAATTCAAAGTATTTATAACCTATCACTACTATTGTGCTTTTGTCAGATTCTTTTATTTTATCACATTAAATATTTGAGTGCTCTAATATTTGCCACATAAAAGTACAGAAACGATGTGCTTTTATTTGGATTTTAGAATTTAAAGAAATAAAATGATTTTCTTTGTCTAATACTTTTGCCTTGAATTCTATTTTTTCTAAAATTAAGGTTGAAACACCTTCTTTATTTCTGTTTCTCTAAGCAATCACTATTCACATTATTCACTATTTTCAACTTTTCTTTAGTATTTTTTTGCAATATATCTTTTTAAAGCAAAATATAGTTTGATTCTGTCTTTTATCTAAATTTGAGCCTGTGTCATTTGTAAAAGAGAATGTATAACATGGCATTTGAAACCAGGCAGGCATGGGGACAAATCTCAGTTCTGTCCTCCTCCCACCTTTGTAAACTTCAGTTTCTT